TTAGCTTCTTAGATGAAGAAATGTCAAACATCCTAATATCACTTCTATGTTCACCTATATGTATCCTTATTTCACTGTGCATTATCCCACATATCCCAGCCCACAAGGGCACTTGATCTTGGCACATTGGACACAAGGAAACATGCCTTGTGGTCACTGGTAGGCCAGTTTGTATTGATGCTAGAGTTATATTTACTTCAAAATTTGGTTTTGCGACCTATCATGTGCACATAGGGGCGATTCTCTGAACATATTCCCCAATTAAGGGTCACTTGTCAGTATACTCTAGGGTTTCTTGATACGTTTTGTTGAATTTACTACATACATATATTTTTTTATTAATCGCTGCTGTATTTTGTATGTCAAAGTCAACTCACAAATATTAATGCATAGGATTGAAATACCACTAGCTTTTATTTTGTGTTAATTGACAGCAGAAAAAGGATCTATATTTGAAGAATAAAATAATAGAGGTTTATAGGAAACAAAAGCTTACAGTGGTTGAAGTGTTACTAAACCTACAACAGTAAAATCAGTCTGTATATGCAGTAAAGCATGCTTGTTATACTCACTGTGGAACCTAAGGGGTTAATCCTCTGCATTATTTAAAAATGCTATTTGATCCTGTCTTCTCTGATCCTCCCCTTCTTCCAGCGTCTCCCTCTGATCTTCTGATAAGACATATCGTGTGGAGAACTCTGCACATGCTCCATTTAGTGTGTATTGCTAGAGAGGTTTTTTTTTCTTGGGAGGGTGCATGTGATCAGCACAGGGCCAATCAGCACTGTCCAGACAGAGGTCAGGAGTTTTTCATCCTTCTAGAGCAGAACGAAAACTCCTCCTACAAGCTTTAATCAGTGCTCGGCTGGACACTGATAGAAGTCACAAGACTGCTCTAACTACTGATGAAAAAAGGTATTTAGCAGTTTATATTTACTAAAATAATTGCATTTCCATGTTCTGTGTACTGTGGGAGACCAGATATAGGGAATGCAGGATCCTGGGTTTAGTAACACTTTAAATATCTGTTTTGTGCAAAGAAATAAGTGCGCACATATATTACATTGTGATAAGTCCCAAAAAATACTATTAGCTATTAGTGAACTGACGCCCCGTTTCTCTTAATATTGACTCCATTCTGATTTGAACCTGGCCTGTGGACTTGCTGTAAAAGTCCTTTTCATTTTCTACTTCTATCAAATAATTGTGCTTATGTTCAAAGAACCTGTACACATATTGAATCTTTAAAAAAAATGACCAATCACAGCAATCACATGACTTCAATGTAAGCAAAGCTGTCTTAAATGGCTTCCATTGAAGACAGCTTGCTTACTGTTGTGAAGTAGTGATGGGCACACCCCTGTTTTCAATTTGCGGTCAAACATTTGAACCTAATGAATGTTCGACCATGAATTTTGAACTCCATACAAGCTGCGGTTTCCAAAGCGAGTAAAATCCTCTCTTGTATTAAAAGATGTATAGACTCCAGAGAGACAGATATCCTACCCCTGTACAAATCATTAGTAACACCTCATCTGGAATATGCAGTTCAGTTTTGGGCACCAATTCACAAAAAGAACATTGGGGAACTGGAGAAAGAACAAAGAAGGGCAACCAAACTGATAAGAGGCATGGAGGAGCTCAGCTATGAGGAAAGATTAAAGGAACTGAATTTATTCTCTCTTGAGAAGAGGAGATTAAGGGGGATATGATCAACATGTATAAATACATCAGTGGTTCATATAGTGAACTCGGTGTAGAGCTATTCACTCTGAGGTCATCACAGAGGACAAGGGGGCACTCTTTATGTCTGGAGGAAAAGAAATGTAATCTCCAAACATGGAAAGGTTTCTTCACAGTGAGAGCTGTGAAAATGTGGAATAGACTCCCTCAAGAGTTGGTTCTGGCCAGCTCAGTGGATTGCTTCAAAAAAGGCCTGGATTGTTTCTTATACACAAAATATACCTGGATACTAACATTTATAGGTAAAGTTGATCCAGGGAATATCCGATTGCCTCTCAGGGGATCAGGAAGGTATTATACCCCTGCAGGAGCAAATTAGATCATGCTTTGCTGGGTTTTTTCCCTTCCTCTGGATTAACTGTGGGTATAGGTTTATAAATTTTTTAAAAAAATTTTTTATATGGTTGCACTGGATGGACTTTTGTCTTTTTTCAGCCAGACTAACTATGTAACTATGTAACAATGGACTCGAACTTGTAAATTCAAAAGTGTCCATTTTGAAGGCTTATATGTAAGTTATTGGCCATAAAAGGGGTATGAGGATTCGGGTACTGCCCTGAGGGACATGAATCAGTGAACAAAAAAAAAATTCAAAAACTACCATTTTTCATTGCTTAAAGTAAAAAAAAGAAAAGAGAAATTCCTTTAAATATCATACCTGAGGGGTCCCCTTAAACTACCTGCAAAGTTGCACATCTGTACAATGTATAGAATGGGGAAATGCATTTAAATGGGTGGATACACCCGGTCCTTATGGCACTTTTTTTTTCTTTTTTGTATAGAACCTGCTGCAGCAGGATTGAAATTTTTTTTTAAAAATGACATTTTTATAAGAAAACAAAAAAAAACAAAAAACAGTGTGGGCCCCCCAATCCATACCAGATCCTTCAGGTCTGGTAGGAAGGTTAGGAGGGACCCAACATTTAAAATATTTTCGTAAAAGTGTGTGGAGGTCCCCCTAAAAGCCCTACCAGGCCCTTTAGGCCCAGTAGGACTTTTAATGGGAACCTCACCTCCCAAAAATGAGTGGGAGTGCATGGGGTTCCCCCTAAAAGCCCTGCCAGGCCCTTTAGGCCTGGTAGGACTTTTAAGGAGAACCCCACCAATAATGGGGGGGGAGTGTGGGGTCCCCCGGGCCAGGGGTGGACTGATAACTCATGGGGCCCCCGGGCAATTCGGGCTCATGGAGCCCCTGTGTCCTTGCCCACAATCAAAACACACCCAAAAAAGCCTATAAACAGTACCAGGGTCATTTTATGGGGCCCCCTAATGACCCCGGGCCCTCGGGCAGTGCCCGAGTGCTCAAATGGTCAGTCCGCCCCTTGTCCCCCCTAAATTCTTATCAGACCCTTGATCCTAGCACAGGCCTGGTAGGGCAGAAAAGGGGAGGGGACGAACGAGCACCCCCCCTCCCTGTGGCTTACCAAGCCATGTGCCCGATGGGGACAAGGACCTCTTCCTACAACCCTGGCCGGGTGGTTGGTGGGGGTCTGTGGGCAGAAAGGCTCATTAGCATCAGGGTACCCCTTTAAATTAGTGGGCAACCTGATGCTCGCCCCCCCTTGTGAATGAGTAAAGGTACTTGTACCCCTACCCATTCTCTAAAGGGTTACATTTAGAAAAAATAAAGACACCAGACTTTTGAAAAATTCCTTCATTGCACAAAAAACAAAACAACTGTTTTTGTCAAGTCCTTTATTAAAAAAAGAAGCCAAAAAATGGTTCTATCGTTGTAATCCATCATCAATCACGTCGTCCAGCATTGTCACAACGAAGCAGACTGGCTGAAATAAAATTAAAAAATCTACACCCGCCGACCTGTCCGTACCTGGCTGGGCACTCGTGCAATCTAAAATTTGCCGGTCAGATGTAAACAATTGGGCAGAGCTAGCGGTGACGTCACCGCTAGCTCCACCCAATTGTGCTGTGATTGGCCTCAAGCCAACAGGCAGTAACAGCCCGCTGAACGCCCTAACCGCTGAACGCCCTAACTGTGTGTTTAGTGAACACGCGAACAGCCAATGTTTGAGTCAAACTTTATATATGTATAACAAAAATGCTTTACTGCATATACTGACTGATTTTACTGTTGTGGGTTTAGTAACACTTTAAAGAGTAATTCCACTCTTGTAGTGAAAAATACATTCCCCTCTGAGTGATCTATGTACATTGCAGGGATTTTAATAACTTTTGTTGCTGTTTGTTTTTGTCCATGTGCAAAGGGTATCTCTATGGGAGTGATTTTATAATTATCAATTAGCTGCTGCACTTGCAGGCCAGGACTCTAATGAGAAAAGTGGCAGGGTCTGCATCTCTTTAGATGTGATTTCCCTTTTGTAGTATCTCACCAATAATTACATTTTTTGTTGCAGGGGATGCCCAAAATTGGACCTATACCTAAGTGGAGACTTCTGGGAAAATCAGTGAGCCAATCACACAAGCAGAAAATTATATTTCTGGGGAAATAATAATAACATTCAATTACAAAATGACATGTGTCGCAATTTTTTATGCTGTATTTTTTTTTTTTATTAGCAATTTTTTTCCAAAGTGGGGTTACCCTTTAATCACTTGACCTCCAGAGAATTTTACCCCCCTTCCTGACAAGGCCATTTTTTGCGATACAGCGCTGCGTTACTTTAACTGACAATTTGCGCGGTCATGCAACACTGTACGTAAATAAAATTTATGGGTTTTTTTTACCACAAATAAAGCTTTCTTTCAGTGGTATTTGGTCACCTGTGCGGTTTTTATTTTTTGTGGTATAAACAATAAAAGACCGACAATTTTGAAAAAAACACCAACATTTTTTACTTTTTGCTATAAAAGATATCCATTAAAAACTTGTAAAAAAATCAAATGTCTTCATAAATTTATGCCAAAATGTAATCTGCTGCATCTTTGCTAAAAAAAAACCCCAATACGTGTAAATTAATTGGTTTACATGAAAGTTATAGCATCTACAAAGGACAGTATATATACTGGAATTTTTTTTCTACTAGTAATGGCGGCGATGAATGACTTATAGTGGGAATGTGGGACAGTGGCGGGCATTCTGACACTGGGGGGGAACTAACTGCCACTGACATCAATGACACTAATACAGTATTCAGTGCTAATAAAAAGCACTGACACTGTACTAATGCCACTGGGCAGGAAAGGGGTTAACATCTCGGGCGATCAAAGGGTTAACTGTGTGCTGTTTGCTGTGTACTTCTCTGCTGTACAGAGAAATACACAGCAGCATGTTGTTGCTGGGAGGAGAGCGACCTGTGTTGTTTACACACAAATCTCTCCCCTGTCAGTGATACTTGGCAATTGCCAGGTGTAGGTGGGGAATCTCCAGCTGGGACCCAGTGATTGACATCTGTAGCCGCCAATGGCATATATATACATGATTTTGCGCAGCCCTGCTGCCCTGTAGCAGTAGTCCTGCTATAGGGGAATCAGGAAGCGGTTAAAAACAAATATATGTATTGCCTTGTTATCTTTAGTAATGTCAACAATACCATTGATATGTCCATAGCAGAAATGTAAAAATTGCTCTGGTCTATAGGGGGTGAGACGCAAAGTGGTTAAACCATATCTCATTAACTCTTAACAGGTTTATGTACAAACACTTCCAACAAAACTGGTTCAGAGAAAAGCACATTTCCTAAATGTCTAGTAGCTAGTAAGATGACAACTTCTTCTACAGGCTCACGAGAGCATGCGTACTGCCAATGGTCAGAGACTCTGACCTGGAATATATTTCCATACTCATCCAATTGCTATAAAGAGTAGATGTCATAATTCACATTACAACAACAAGAGCAGTCATAGCAACCTTGAGTTACACAGAGAATGAAATACATTCATTTCTCTATGGCACAACTCTCCTTCACTATCTGAATTTTTGTTTAATTATGAGTTAAACTACTGCTGTCCGTGGAATTGTAGTTTTTATTGTTTCCCTGTTAACATTAGACAGTGTTAAACCGGACATACACGGGTTGAAATCCGAAAGAACTTTCTTTCTAAATATTTTTCTAAGAATTTTTGTTCGAATTAAGTACCATTAGTGGGTCACAGAAACTGCCAATTTTCATGTGACCATCGAATTTGAATGATTGGGCATGTTGGAAATTTTTTGAAAAACGAACAAATTTCGAATCAATGTTTGGAGAATCTTGCAAAAAATATATAGTTGTGACCTGGAAAGAAAAGAAAATTCTTGGCCACAAAAATTCTTTTCTGTAGCAAATTGAAGGCTTGGTTGGTTGAATTTCGAAATCAATGGTGGCACCATAGCATTACAAATGCACAAAATTTCCGGTTTTCTAAAGAAAATTCATTCGGAATTCGACCCATGTATGGCCTGCATAAGTTTGAATGTCATGGCTCTAGTTCTGCAGAGAAAATATCCAGTACATAAAGGGGTAATTTACTAAATTCAAATAATGCACTTTACAAGTGCAGTTGCCCAGAGCTTAGCAAAGTGAGGGGAAGCTCTGCTGACTTCCATCGTTCAATCATGTGCAAGCAAAAATGCTGTTTTTTTTTTTTCATTTTCCTTGCATGCAATTGAATATTCTTTGTAAAGTGTAGCTTTACCTCATTTACTAAACTATGGAGCAACTGCACTTGCAAAGTGCACAGTCTATTTGCCTTTAGTAAATCAACCCCAAAGTGTATTTCTTTCTTAATTTTAGAGAGAGTGCCGAAAAGTTAGTCCTCCTGTTACATTTATATTTATATTGTCTGTGTCCTCCTCTATTTGTAACAGCAACCCTTGTCACAGAGAAAGAAGGTGTAACGATTCCCAACATTTTGGAGCTGCTCAAAAAAAACAAAAGGTAAGGGGAAATCTTCCAATGGGGATACCTGTTTCCGGGTCAGCCATCTAAGAGGGGATTTCCCTTGCACTTTGGTAGATTTACTCTTGATGGGTCAACTGGGTACACACTATAAGAAAATCGGGCCAGCAATCGGCAGGTTTTCCTCGATAGTTCACAGCAAGTCAAACCCGAGGATGATACTAATTGTATGAAAATTTTCGAATGACAACGTTTTTTTTTTGTTTGACGTAGAAACATTGTAGCATAGAATATTGTTTATTGTTTCTGACCATGTGCAGTCTTTCGTATCAGATTTTTCTCACACAAAAACAGTACATATTAATCCAAAATCATTAGATCTGTTCACGTAAGAGGAAGCTTTCGTAGTTTGCCTCTTTGGAAATTTTCAATTGGAAAGTCTGAAACGGATGTCGAAAGTCGTATACACACTATACAGAAATCGAACAACCGTGCCTCATACAGAATTTTTCTTTGGTTTTCTCGAACCCTGCTTTATCTGGGGGAGGAAATTAAGCTAAATTTCCCCAATGGTAAATAGTCAAAAAACAAACAAACAAAAAAAACATTACCCTTCCCAACTCTATTTAAAACTATAAAATGTTTTTGCTATAGATAAGCCTTAACTTTTGAGAAGCTGGGGTGATGTTTGCATACTGCTGGCTCGGCTGTTTTAAGTTTGCTTTTGATTCAGGCTACAAAGAAAGTGTTATTAATACAATGTAATGTACATTTAAAAACCTGAGAAAATAAAATAACATACTTTCCTAGTTAGTATTTTTTTTTTAAATTGCTTGCTGCAACAACACAAGCACAGCAGAATCAACTGCACAAGAGTCAGATTAATGGGCAACACCATTAGACAGCAGAGAGCCTTTTTGCAAGAGATTAGTTTTGGTCCACCTCACTTAGCTATTCCAATTATGTTCATACCATCCTGCTGTGGTTCTACAGAAGAGTGTGTTCTTAGGAATTCATGGGCCTATTATGTCCAGCTAACATTTCACTTTTCTCTTTGCTTTTACCTGTAGCTGTAACACTGACGTTACTTACTATGGCATTACCAACTGGCAGATGAATCCCTCTCCAGTGTCCTCGAATTATTAAACATTGTTACTGCAGTATGATGCCTCTACAGAGGCACCTGTTGATTAGCAGTTAACAGGGTCTGCATTTTACAATTTCCTAAAAAATACAAACACCTTCACTGTACCAATGAAAATACATTATCTGACCAAAGTTAAATGTATGGTTCCCTTTACTGTTAGAGAGAAATTTGCCTGTGCATGGCAGCCTTAGATGTGTGTTTCACAACTAATTTTCTTGTACTTCTCAGTAAAAGTGAGTCATTATGGAAGTCCAAAGCTGCTCAGTGGGTACTCGTGAGCAGCGACCCAAGATGGCCACACAGTAGGCGCGCTCCTCGCCCACCGGACACATCGGCTGATCCGCTGGCTCCCAGGGGGGTACAACATGCACCCACTGTCCCCCCCCCCCGATCGCTGACCCACGACTGCCCAGGTGGGGAAAAAAAAACAGGGGGCCACCCGCAACTCCAGTGCTTGACAGTGCTGGAGTCCGCAGCCTACCCACTGGTGGTCTCTCATGAAACTCAGACCTTGAGTTTGGAGCCGATGCCACCGCTGCTCGCGGGAGACCTGGATCCCGCTTATGACATGGACACCATGTCGGATGCCACTCTACCACCCCCCCTCTCTGGCCCTCCGGGATGCTGAACTGCTGGGTCGCTTTAAATCTATGTTACAGACCAAATTATTCTCTGCTACTTCCAGGCTGACAGAGCATCTTTCCAGGGAAATCAGAGAGCTAGGAAACCCGCACGAATTACCTTGAGGACAAGATGGATGCCACGGTCACAGTAATTGAAAATTATGAGCCGGACTTCTACGATCTTAAGAAAGAATTGGCGGATATGTTGCTCTGGCTTGAAGATTTTGAGAACTGTTCCTGCCATGGCAACCTACGCCTGCGAGGTATCCCGGAATCTGTCATGGATCTCACTTCAACCGCTACCGTTCTATTTCAGAAGAAGTCCTTAGTCGTTCTGTTGGACTACACCTTCTGAGAAGCGACGGGGTGTTCTGATAGCTTTCAGATACAATCTCCCCTTCAACGGTGTCCGGAATATAGCAGACCCCACGGGTAGGTACTTACTTTTTCAGGGCACCTTATGGGACAGGGAGATCACTTTAGTCCCTTACTATGCCCCCAATCGATTTCAGCACAGATTTTTCTCTCATCTCTGTTCCATAATTTCTCGACATTCCAAGGGCCTTCTCTTCCTCTTAGAGGATTCCAATGTCACTCTAGATTCTGCTCTGGATAGACACCATGCCCGGGGGGTGACCCCTTCCTACGACTCAGTGCAGGAGGTGTGTATGCGCTCCCTCCTGCAGTCTGCAGGGCTGGCGGATGTTTGGAGGGAGCTCCACCCGACTGCGTGTGACTTTACCTTCTACTCAAACCCGCATATCAGTTTATGCAGAATCGACCACGTATTTATGCATGTTCACCAATTTCCTTTGGTAAGGAGGATATCTATTCCTTCCTCGCCCTGGTCAGACCATGATCCCCTGGTCTTGCTTCTTGAACTCTCGGGTATGGTATGGTATGGTATGGTGCCCTTCTCACTGGAGCATCAACAAATCCCTACTGACTGCTCAGGCCACTTGCCAGCAAATTCAATCCTTCATTCGAATTTATTTTACCAACAACTCAGGATCTGTTTCTTCGACAGTGCCCTTGTGGGACGCACACAAAGCCACGGTTCAGGGCCACATTATACAGTAGTTTGGAAGCGGAAAAGGGAGCATTGCCTTTCCGACCTTCACTCTCTTCTAGCTACCGCTGATGCTCGCTGGATGTCGCACCCGTCCGTGGCCCACAAATGGGCGTGAGACGCCATGGCTGCGGAATTAGATTTGCTTGCATCCTCAGAGGCTGAACAGGCCTTGCGTTTGACCAAACATAAATTCTACACCTGTGCTAACAAACCGGGCCTGATGCTGGCCAAAAAGCTCAACTCTGTGGGGAAACCTCACAAGTTGGTCCAATTGCGGCTCCCCGTGGAGGGATTGCACTTTGAGCCCCAAGCAGATTGTCTCACATTTCGCTGACTTACTCTTGCACCTGTACGCCAAACCGTACCCTTGTCCTTTGGATCAGGAAGAATCCTTTTTTCAGGATTTGAAGCTCCTATCTGAAGCAGCGTGGGCAGCCCTTAATGCTGGTATTACTGAAACGGAAGTGTTTCAAGCATTCTACTGTGGCCCCGGGCCCTGGCGGCTTTTCAGGTCTGCACTATAAGAAATTTGCAACCTTTCTGGTGTTCTTCCTTGCTGGCTACCTCAACAAACTATGACAGCGCTCTCTGCCCTCTCTTGATGCGCTCAGGGCTCATGCCTTGATGATTCCTAAGACAGCGGAAGCCGTGCAGGATCCGCAGGCCTTGCAACCTATTTCTCTTCTTAACGAGGACCTGAAAATAGTTGGCAAGATTCTTAGTCTTCGTATCAATAAATACTTGTGTAGTCTGGTCCATAGAGACCAGGTGGGATTTGTCCCTGGGAGGCAGGTGGGAGTTAATGTTTGTATAGTGATCCATCTTATACATCTCCTGCAACAGCGGAAAATTCCGGGATTCTTGTTGACTCTAGATATCTACAAGGCTTTTGATTCCCTGTCCTGGGAATACCTGCGATTTGTGCTGTCCTGTTGGGGCTTTGGGAATTCTATCCTCTCCTGGATTCAAGCTTTATACTCTTCCCCTTCGGCTTCGGTCAAGTATGCAGGGTATTTCTCAGATCCCTTTCCTATTTGGAGGGGGACTAGACAGGGATGCCCCTTGTCCCCAGAGCTCTTTGTTCTAGCACTTGAGCCACTGACTATGACGCTCTGGGCAGACTGTAATATATCGAGTATCCCTTACGCGGGACAGGAATTTAAGCTTAATCTTTTTGTGGACGATGCCCCATTGACCCTTACCAATCCATTGACGATGCTCCCAAATCTGTAACGGGTCCTTGCTTGTTTCTCTTTGATATCGGGTCTCTGCATTAATCTGGATAAGACTGTTGCTCTCAATATCACTTTGGCTTCGGACCTGGTCTCTCACCTACAGTCTCACTTCCCCTATAAATGGGCTTCCTCTTCGCTTGAGTATTTGGGCATTCACCTGACCCCTTCTTATGCCTCCCTATCCACTGCGAAATACTATCCCTTACTTCATTCTGTGTCCTCTCTCATGTACTCTTGGCAATTTCCACACCTGTCCTGGATTGGACGCGTCAATTCTGTGAAAATGACCATTTTGCCTAAATTATTATATTATTTTTGCACCCTCCAAGTGTGGGTTCTTCCTCATTTCCTCCAGTTGATTCAGGCTAGTATCCTGCAATTTATTTGGGCTGGCAGACACCCCAGCGTCTCCAGAACCACTCTCTTTGTCCATAGACTGCAGGGAGGTCTTGGGGTACCCAATGTAACTAAGTATTGTCAGGCAAGCCAGATTGCCCAGCTGTCCAAGCTGCATGCCTCCTCTTATGTTCCTCTCTGGGTACTTTTGGAACTACCCAATTGTGCCCCCATTGCGTCATCGTCGCTTTTATGGCTTCCTCCTGCTGAGCGCCTGACGGCGTTGAGTTCAGTTATGCTTCATAGCTTACAAGTGTTGGATTCAGTACATTACTCAGGCGATCTGATGTCACCCTTTTTACCTCTGCTCCCGAATTTTAATGTCCCTCTTTTTCCACTGGGTTTTGATCAACCATGGGCGTTCTCTTGGTGGGTGGCCAATGGTTTTTCGCATATGTGACATATTTTGAACTCTAGGTCCTTCCTCACCTGGAACTCCCTTCGGGAATTTCGAGATGTCCCTCAGATGGAATTTTTCCGTTATCTCCAACTGCGACATTGGCTGACCTCCCTGCATGGTACTGTCATGAACGCGAGATCGTTGCCACCAATATGCGACGATCCCACGATTGCTGTCACCAATATGTGACAAATGCGGACCCCAGCCCTTCTCACCAAACTTGTGACTGAAGGACTAGCCAATCTAAAACCGCGATGTCACGTGCCTAACAATGCCACACTCAGCTGCACCCTGCACAACGATTTTCCAGCTAATTGGACCACAATTGATGCACCGGCATCCTGAATGCGATTGTTACTGGGTCAGGTTAATTACTCAATTAACCCTTCACACTGCCACCACCTCCTTTTTGTACAGAGAAAGAGGAAACTCGGCGATATCAGCTATAACACTATAATGGTTGAGATAATCGTCTGTATAAAGTGGTCACCGCAGGCCGGGTAAACAAACACAGTAGCATCTCTTTTAGAGGCAGGAATTCGTAAATTGCAATTAAGAGCTATAGAAACAGTTCAACACTTTCAGAAGGAAAGATTTATTACTAAAAGGTCAAACGGGTGCAATAAAAATATTTACAGAAAAAGATGTAACTAAGATACATATATAAATATACAGAGACCAACAGCACAGCAAAGAGATATCAGAGAGAGGTGAAAGGGTTAGGGTACTTGCCAAAGTCCTGGGTTAGCAGATCCAAGTTTCAGAGCAAAAGGGCACAGGTCTCCCCAGGTGGTACTGATGTTAAAATGGGAGACGTCTTCAACTTAACTTTCTTAGGCCTGACAGCCCATTTTTGTAGTTCCATAGCAGGGGGTGTCTCTGAAGTCAAGGACCAATACCCCGTGTAGGGAGGGATCGTCTGGGCGTGGACCTAAACTACAGCCAAAATCTCTTATAGTTCATACTTTGGCTCATAACTTTCCATATGCATAAGTGACATTCCACCCGTGAGTAGATTATTATGCAGACACAACTGAGGATTGATTCGATATAAAATATGAAATTATACACTGCCTGGTTCACGAGATCTACGTTTCTGCTTTCCTATGTATTCGAGACAAGGCGAGTGACCTACCAAACTGTTCATATTCTCGTGGCCAATCTGACGATATGTCCGGTTTTTATGTAAGTCTCTCATATTCCATGATATGAGACATAGGGGGAAAATGGATTTTAACAAAGGTTATCTGGTCATGTTTCCTTGGAATGTTCTTTAAACTCCTGGGAAAGCTTGTCTTATCTCATATGAGGTGTTACATTTTACAGGTTCTTTGGACATCTAGGCCCAGGCTCCCTTGGGGACTTTATAGCTCCTAGTCCCCTGCTGGGCTCTGGCCTCCTGTGACACTCCTAACACACACACACTGGCCAAATGCCACTGTGCCTCTCAGACAGGGAAGGGGGAGAAGGAGGGGGAAATATGTTTGTCAGGATGGTTAACCCCTCTGCCAAGATGGAGGTTGAAGCCAAAATGGTTGAACCGCGTCCATCTAAATGTGTTCGCTTGCTACAGGTACCTCTGCCTTTCCATTTCAGAAGTCCGCCTTTGAGCAGATTTGTCAACAGTGCCTGTGCTCCGGGTCTTATCTCCATCCTTTATGCATCTCTTAATAGGCGTCCGGTGCATACTTCCCTTTCGTAAGTTGTCCAATGGGAGCGGGACCTGCTGGTGGTCGTGGATTTGGAAGACTGGAAAAGGGCCTGGTCTTTTGTAGCTAAATGTTCATTTAATACAGCCACATTGGAGGCAATGTACAAGGTACTGTTTCCTTAGTATTGGGTCCCAGCCCATATTGCCCGGGCGAACCCATCCTATAGTGACCGCTGCTTTCGAGTTGTGGTCTTCGTGTGGATGTGTTACATATATGGTGGTCATGCCCAAAATTGATTCATTTTTGGTCTTGTGTATTTGGCCTTCTTTATACCTTGTTCCACCTTTCTATAAGCAGAAAGGCCCGGTATGCCCTACTCCATTGTCCCATACCGGCCTTGTTGGCACATCGGCAAAAGTTGGTCTCCCATTTGTTTTTGTCACCAACCAGAACAATTGCTCAGGCCTGGAAGAGTGCATCTGTTCCCCTTCAGGGAGTGCATGATCGTATGACTGCTCTGATACTCAATGAATAGATGTCTAGTATCCGCAATGACTCCCAACCTTTTTTCTTTTCTTTTTTCTCCTTTGTTTTTTGTTTGGTTTTTGTGAGGTGGTTTACACCTGCCCTCGGTCCTGATTCACTGTTGGTGTTTACAACACTGTCTTTTACCTTATGTGCCATTGCTAGCCGCTGCGTGGGTGTGCGTTTTGCCTATGTTTTCTATTGTTTAAAAATTAATAAAAACCATTGAAATACAAAGCTGCTCAGTGAATTTGCCCAGAATGTCCTGGCATATTTTCTGTTGCTAACAGACAGGGGAGTCTGTTGTCAAATATGGTGTTAAGCATAGCATATTTTGCTACTGTATAATGAAGCAAACTAGGCACAACTTGCACAAACAAAGGGTGAATCCATTTTCACTGAGCTGCCAGAAGTCGTAAAGCCTTAATGATTCATCAAGACCACTGTAAAGCTTTGACATTTCATTAAACAATAGATTGCACGACCAGTGTTGAGTTGAAGGGGAGATTGGATTACGCTGCTCTAAATAAATTTGAACTTCTTGATCAACCAGCAGAGTTTATCATATTTGTATATATTTGATTCCCTTAACCACTTGCCGTCCTCCCTATAGCAGAAATACTGCTACAGGGTGGCACGGGTGTGCAAAATCACGTATATACTGTATACGTGATTTTGCAGTTCCGGGTAGGGGGCACACACCCTACACGTGCCGCCATTTGTGGCCTCGGCTGTTAGTCTCCGTGTCCCAGATGGTGATTACTCGCTGGCATCTGTTGATCGCCGAGTAATACCAATGGGGGAGAAAACTGTATGTAAACAATACAGTTCTCTCCCTTGTAGAGCCATACAAAGCAGTGTGCTTACAATGAAGCACACAGCACATAATGTAAAAACAGTACACAGCACACAGTTAACCCTTTGATTGCACCCAGATGTTAATCCCTGCCCGCCCAGTGCTTTTTATCAACACTGATCACTGTATTGGTGTCACTGGGGATGTCAGTGACACCAAGTCAGTTCCCCCCAGTGTCAGAATGCCCGCCGCAGTCCCGCTATAAGTGATCACTGCCAATACTAGTAAAAAAATTACAGTGTATATACACCGCCATTTGTAAACGCTATAACTTGCACGTAAACCAATTAATTTACACATATTGAGATTATTTTATTAGCAAAGACATGTAGCAGAATACATTTTGGCCTAAATTTATGACAAAATTTGATTTTTAAAATTTTTTTACTGCACATGTTTAATATCAAAAAGTCAAATATTGTTTTTTTCTTAAAATTGTCGGGCTTTTTTTTATAGCGCAAAAAATTAAAAATGCACAGGCGATCAAATACCACCAAAAGAAATCTCTATTTGTGGGGGAAAAAAGGTTCATTTGGGTGCAGCGTTGCATGACTGCGCAATTATCAGTTAAAATAATGCAGCGCTGTGTCGCAAAAAATGGTCTGGACTGGTAAGGAAGGGGGTTAAATCCTCTGGAGGGCAAATGGTTAATTAACTTTGCTTTTGTTGCAATAATATTGGCATAATTTTTTTACAGTGAGTATTGGTCATTTCAAGAATTATCATACAGTCATCAAAAGCCGCATATGTTTAAAATGTAAATACATGTTTGTGAAAGAATCCATAAATATTCATTTCAAATCTTTTCAGATAATCTAATAATTCAAATGTGTTAAAGAAGATGCGGGAGAGCTGGGAGAAATAAATCAATGGTGTTCATTCTTTAAGACACTAAAGAAGAGGTAAGATTAAAATTAATTATCGTGGAGATTTGCACTGCTGGTTTACTGTAGTTCATACAAGAACTGATTTATATACTTATAAACAAGCTTGCAATAAATATATTTGTAGTGTTACATAAAAATACCCATATGAGAACGGTAGTGTGATAGGATAGGTAATTGGCCGAATAATAGGACAGGGGGTAACTGTAACTTGCAGTTTACTAATGAGGTAGAAATTAGAGTCAATAATGTAAAACAGAATCAGAATGGAAAACAGCACACATATACTGCAGAGTAATACAGAACAGTTATTGCAAGGTAACAATAAAAGCTGCAAAAAACATGAACACATCAATGTCTTTGTGGATCAATCAGGGTAACATGCCTGCATAGCATATCCTCTAGAAGACACTATAACAACAGAGAGTAAAGCTGAAAACCACTACTTCAGTAAAACAGTAAAGAACACAGTTACTACTTGCACTTTTCCCTTATAAGCATCATCCATCTCAGAGAAGACCAGTGTAACTTTGGTACCATAGGTGAACAGCTGCAGGATCCAATTCTGAGGACATGGGGGGCACCCCACTGAAATTGCAGTATTTTAGTGTCACACACCTTGTTTGGAGGCTGAAGTGACGAGAGGGCTTCCCCTTGTGGCTCTGGCCTGAGAACCCCTGAGAGTGGAGACAGGAGCACAAGGCACAAAGCAACATGGGTGGCGGTATCAGATAGTAGACAGTAGTAGTCTCTGGACTGTAGTCAGTAGTGATGGAGCTACACCAGAAGAGGACCGAGAATGGTGCCTGGAAACTGGACCTTGGAAGCTTGGTTCAGAGACTGCAGGGGCACTCAGAGGCAAGGAAAAGTATTCATCAAGATCCAGGATGTGGGCAGAGGGCAAGCCAAGGTCAGCCTGGATAGGCAACAAGGACGTAGTGAGATACCAAGCGGGGATCATGCATGAGGAGCAAGAGTAACATAGTCAAGCAGCAGGCAGAAATCAGTTCCAGGAAGACAGCAGAGCATAGTCAGAGGCAAGCTGGGGCAAGTTCAAGATCCTTAAAGCAAGGGCGGGAGCAGACTGGGTAAGCGACAGGAGGCCAGATAATTACAGTGGGAACACAGGTCACAGGGAGCTCAAGAACATCTAGAAATTAGTACACATCAGGCCTTTAAATAGCTTGGCACCAGTCCTGGGATTGGGTGTGCACAGTCATGCAGCAATGCACACCGATGTCTGTGCTGCTGCGCTCTGCTGTGCTCATGTGTCAGTGCATGCTGGTTACTAGCTAGAGTCCTTCTGCATGCTGCACATGCGCATGAGCATTAGCTGCTCGAGTATGTGTACGAGCATTACTTGCATGAGTATTAGTTCCCTGACATCTGGTAACAAATGGGGAGGGAATCCCCAAAGTAGTTGGGTCTTCTGGAGTGGCTGTGTGATATTAGCCTCCTGCCTGCATGGTAGTTCAGACAGTGGAGAGCCTCTTATATGGCTAAAGATCACTTGCTCAGCTACTTTGGGTACATCAGGTTTGGCCACCTGAGCTTCAGAGGGAGAAAAGTCAAGAAGTTTATTGGAGTGTTGGTGAATCCAGGGAGTTGTGGGAAAAGTAAATAAAGGGGCCTGCACCTTCGACAGAGCATGCTGAGTAAATAGGCACTTCTAAACTTTTGGTAGGATACAATATCTGCTGCCAACTGAAGAGCTGAATTAATACCTGACTGCTTACACTCACAAATGTAAATATGTTCTGAGAGTGCATAAAACATAACTAAAATATCTAAAGTGCAAAAGACATATTTTCACATGTTTTCGGAAGCTTACAAAAGTAAACATTCACATAAACAGATGTTACAAAAGTTAACAAACATCTTTTTTTGTATTGTCCATAGAAATGAGCTCATACCACATTACTTCTTTTAGTCTTTTTTGTAAATGCTCACTTAAACTTCTTTTTCTTGTCGCCTTTTTTGCACCCCTTTTCAGGAGCTTCTTTTTCTGGGCCTATGGTTATGCCTTCTAGATGAATTTGTAGATGTTAATAGTCAAATAAGGAAGCTGTTCAGCTTAGATCAAATAACAGGCTACTCTTATACCATTGTAACATTTAAGTTGCTATATAAGATTGGGCATCTACTACTATTAGCTGATTATGGAAGCCCTTTGGAGAATGTACGTATGTCTTCCTTAGCATCTGTTTACTGAAGCCCTTTGAATTTTTACCATTTACTGTATATGTTTACTTGTGTCAAAACAATGTTGTGTAATCATGCATTCATTTCTAGTAAAGCAGTAGACTGCATTCATACTGCATAGCTAAATACACCAATCAGCCATGACATTATGATGACCCAACTAATATTGGCAATGTCCCCCTTTTGCAGCCAAAACAGCCCCAAAACAGTCCTGACCCATTGTGGCATGGATGCCAATAGAACTCTGAAGGTATGCTGTCATGTCTGGTATCAAGCTGCAAGTAGTATATCCTATAAGTTTAGAGGTGGCACCTCCATGGATCAAATTTATTTTTCTATCACATCCCACAGATACTCGATGCATTGAGATTTGAAGAATTTGGAGGCCAAGTCAACATCTCAAACTTGTGAAAAAAAACATACTACCTTTGCCACAGATATGTACAGAGTAATAAAAAAATTTTCACAGCTCAGCTGATCCAAAATAGTGTCAATAAAATTGCACCATATACCTAGAAAACTGTGAAAAAAAAGTGTTATAGATGTACTCAAATGATGTGCACATAAATAAATATTACTTATGTAAGCCAATGAATAAGATAAAAAAAACTTTTTCCACTGCACTTAGTGATAAAATAAATAATCAGTTCTACAGCTGCACTCAAAAAACATCCACCATATGTCTAACCCCCCTGGCGGTATTCCCGAGTGTAGCTCGGGGTTAACTTTCAGTACCAGAAGCGGTAACCCCGAGCTACACTCGGGATTACATTGCAGCGTTGCTCTGGGATTCCCTCTTGCACTAACCTTGTCCTGCGCTTCCGCGATGTCCCCCCTGCAGCGTCCCCGGCCATCTCCTAAGGCCGATGCCGGCATCCGTCTTCCGGGTTCCGTTCCCTGCGAGCGTTGGGATGTACGGGACGTACGGGTGATGGAACCGGTGGGAAATTCAACAATTTAAAAAGTGACATTCACTCAATACACTAAAATCTGATAGTATAACATTACTGTATCAAACCATTTCACATACATTTTGTCCCTAGTGCTTTGTCCTGTGCCCTGCCTGCATTTTTACTGTTCTTTCTGCCTGGAAATTGAGAAACGTCCATGGTGTCCAAAAAGCGCCCATTTATGTCAAACGCGATTTTAGACCAGCTAGAGAACAGCAATAGTAAATTAGAACCACTTGCAGAATTGAGTGATAATGATTTGTGGGGAAATTCGTCATCAGACACTGAAAATTATTCTGCGACTTTGCTGAGCGATGTGCGAACTTGGCTCTCTATTTCAAATTTCAGTGTTTTTGGTTTGATTACATTATTGAATAAAATTTATTATTTTATTATTATTTTTATGATTATTTATTATATTATAATTTATGACTTCGTGTTTCAAATTTTATCATATCCGGGATGTTTACTAGACTCTTGTTCAGACAGATTTCAGTGAGTTATTCCTAAGAATTACAGGCCTACAATAAAAAAAAAACATATTTCCATGCAAAAAAATGTACCGCTTTGAGCACAGAAATACTGACATAATTAGACCGCTAGGGAGGTTAAATTATACTCATACAAATAAGTTGCGCTGTGAATGAATAAAAAAATAATATTGTGAGTAACTAATATTACTCAAGTAAATGTGATAAATCCCAACATTACATATAAATTAAAGTCCAAAAACATTTTCTTTAAAGGTTCATCAATATTCAATACATTGTGATAAGTGTGTTCACCATCAGCATAGCCAGCCTCTTACCGAATTCCTAGACCCCAAATTATAGGAGGTCTATTTGGCATATATCCCAATAGTATGATTACAACCATGTAGATGTCCCAATACTGTGACGGCTTATTCCTTTTCCTTGCCTCAAGAAGAGCTCACATATATAATAAGAAGTATTTCTCAATTAGAAACACAATGGATTTTTAATATGACATCCAATACCCCCATGGCCACAACATAGAGTGGAATATTAATAGTTTTATTAGTAATAGGAGAAATATGGGTTTCTGTCTTCTTTTTTCTCCTAATTTGTACTGTTTACTGTATATTTTATGTTAGTGCTGTATACAAAGATCTATTTCTTCAGAGATTTTTCACTATAACGTTGATATTAAGGA